ATTCGAGTAGCTAATATATCCACCATTCGTGTGTGTCTTAGGGGATTAGTCGTGGCCTGCGTCTTTTCTCGATATCTAAAGATGTAGTCAAGGTATATGAGTAGATAAGCACCACATATCATATCCTTGTGTGACTACCAGAGTAACGACCATTGGCAGGGGGCGCTGTAATAGTGTTTATAAGTGAAGTCTTCACTATTGAACATGAAGGCAGCGCTCCCAGTCAATGGTAGTCACTCAGGCGGTATTTAAATACCCTCTGGTATGGTCTTCTGATTCTTTGATAGGATTTCGTCATCCACCTCGTCGCACCTCTTGTGACTCGCTCATTTGGTTGACTCGTGTGGTTGTCATCGTGAATGGATGTAATTTTGGAGGTAGCCCTGTTAATTGGTGACAGGAGTGGTGGTAACGGTGATGTGGTATTTTAATTACTAATGAGAGTATTAGTGGTGGTAATGGGACTGGTAGTGGTGGCAGTTTAGCAAATATATTTTTTTTTTATTGATGAATGTTTTATAATGGCAGCAGTGATCGCATTCATCACACTGGTTATAAAACATGATACAGTAGTCTTGATGACAGCGACATATATATTACGGTCTATGGTACCATGGCAGCAGCTCGAGTACCAATTACCATAGTTTTACTCAGTCACAACTTGTCTCTGCAACGTCTCAGGATAGTAGATGGAAAGACGCCTGAAGCATTCATTCTGTCCTATCACACTTCCCTCTCACTTCTCTTTCCTTCCATCCCGTTATAAAGCGCTTTCATCTATCCCATCCCATCACATATTTCTTACTTCCTTCCCCTGTCTTTCTTTCCCTCTTCCTCCATCCCTCTCATCCACTACGCCATCATTCCTACATATCATCTCCTCCCTTCGTATCTCCAACAGTCTCCTCCTCCTCCTCCTCCTCCTCCACCACCACCCTTGCACCATATGCGAGAATGGTCTCTCAGAGAAAATGGCATCCTGTGCTTTATGTCATGTCTCGTCTTGGTAATTTCTTGAGAGAGTGACGCCGGGTCGTAAAAATGGCCGCGAGTGAACCTCCAAGAAGAAGATGCGGTGTTGTTCGCTGAGGAATGAGAAACCTCCAGATTAGACGTGTTATTATCGTGCCTAAGTTTTGGTGATCTAAAAGGGTTATTCACTGCTTGTAGGCAAGATATGAATCAACATTTTTCACCCAATTTGTTGTCATCTATGTACACGACTAAGCTATCCATTCTGTACACCACCCAACTTGTTTACTGCCCATCCTGTACATTAAGCTATTTTGTTTACTATACATTCTGTTTACTATCCATCTTGTATGTAATCCACCCAGTTCACTCTCTATCCTCATTACCATCCATCCTGTATGATATTCATCCTGTACATTATCTATCCGGTTTACTATCTATCCTGTACATCATCCATCCAGAGTTCAGGGATAAACGACCCATCCTACGTATGCAATCATTATCCATCCTGCTCATGCATTTCTTCCTCCATCACAACCCTGCAAAATGATCAATGCCCACCCACCCTTAAATACAAACAGACAGACAGACATAGACACATGCACAGACAGACACACACGCAGACACACACACACACTACGACACATAACCCACCAAAACAAGGCATTAATTCAGGCGTATATACTCGTGAGTTTAAACGGTGGGTGTTGGTGCAGCCTCGGTGGACCCTGGGCCACTTGGGTCAACACTGTTCTCCCTCAACCTGCTTACTCAACCATGGCGGTAAACTGGATCCTGGCGCATAACGCAGAGTGAATGGGAGGTAACGGTGGCGGAGGTGGAGGAGGGGGGGGGCGCTGTGGAGAGACACGGGGATGGAAGAGGGAGATGGGGATAAAGTGAGGAGGGAGGAGTTGGAGGAGATAGGGGTATGAGGAAGAGGAAGGGGGAGATGTGGAGAGGGAGATAAAAAAGAAGGATTGACGTGACGTAAGAGTGAGATAGGGAGAGTAGAGATGTGAGAGAAGTAGGAGAAGATGTAGAAAAAGTAGGAGGAGGATGGAGGCAGAGAAAAGCGGGAGAGATCCACACGCCAAGTCGACCCAACTCATAATACAACAAATATTTCAAGAATTTAAATCAAATCTCGAGTTACAGAAAACCTAAAGAATACTTGAGGTCGTCTTTTCGTTAAAGGAATCTGCTGAAAAATGTGAACGACGTGTTACAGAAAATCAATAAAAATGGCGAGATACATTTATCAAACTGACCCAGGAAACGATGGGGGGAGGTGGAAAAAACGATATTACCAACACTCACACAAAAAATGGTGCGTGTAGGGGGGGGGGGAGGGGGCACTGAGTGGGTTCCAAGTGATGGATCTTGGTGAGGTTTTCAAGACAATACCACCACCCCTTACCATCACCTCTCACCACCACCATCACCACCACATCTTTTTCTACCCTTTAATATAAAAATAAGTTGTGTATATACCTCCCGGCATTGGACTATTCACCAACAATACAAAAAAATACCTCAAGAGTAAACATATATCCTTTCCTTTTTATTTGGAGAGAAACAATATGGTGATGGTGCAAGGTTTGGTGAGCAGGTTTTGGTGTATATTACTCTGGTCGGGTCATTATGTGCCGTGATTAGGAAGTCAGTCATTGGGTCGGCCGCTCAGTGTACCCACCATTATATAATTTTACTCCATAACTTTTACTTTTATCGATATAATCTGTATGAGAGAGGGAGATTTGAGGCCGGGATTAACACCTTAACGTGTACAATGACTTAACCACTAAGAGTACTGAGGCAACCTCTTGTATACGATGACTTAATCTCTTGTGTACGATAACCTAACCCTCTGCAATTCAAGAAATCTGGCTATAGTACTCAAATGTATAAGTCCTCATACTCAAGGGTTGAACACATCTTATACAATGGGCTGATTCATTATACTCAAGAGAGGTTGACATCGTACTCAAGAGTTCAGCATACTCAACGGGTTAATTCATCATACTCATAGGATTAAAAGACAACCTGATAATATCATTATTTACTGTCACTCTGAAGGCGGCACAAGACAGGTGTGGACAGGTGTTTTTATGAGCCTTAACTATAGTTCCTCACCTGCTCTCATTATATATGTCAAAATAACACTTATAATAATAATAATAATAATAATAATAATAATAATAATAATAATAATAATAATAATAATAATAATAATAATAATAATAATAATAATAATAATAATAATAATAATAATATAAATGTTTTTCTCCAACAACTGTGTACATATACTATTAAATCTCATGTGGGCAATCCACAAACCAATATGAAGGAATTTAATACGATAAAACAATAAAGCAATGCCTTATTAAAACACCCTATATAGTGTTTTTTAATTCAAATGCTTATGTATTTTTATTTATGCTACATTATTTTTTATCGTATTTAATCACCTCCAGAAAAAATAAATAAATATATATAAACTGAAACACTTTCCAAAATCTCACAAACTAAAGCAAACTCTGAACTGTGTAGAAACATCCATCATGGACGTCAACAAAACATTGGAGGAAAAGTGCAAGGTGGAGTTTTTTTTCTTGTGTTAACTGGTGTGATATTTATTATTACATTGTTACAGGATATACAAGGGGAAAGAAAATGATGGCAGAAGGCATAAGTGTGGGGAAATGTACAGACTGATTAAACCAGCGGTTCTTAAACGTGTGGGGGGGCGTGGAGTAATTTCAGGGTGGGCGTGAACCCAGAGCAAAATAAGGAATGGCCTTAACAGGTGTGTGTGTGTGTGTGTGTATGTCCTTATTTGGTTTTCGTGGGGGGGGGTGGGGAGGGCTCGCTCTCCACAGATACTTCAAAATGTCATAAATGGTAACTACGTCAATCAAACTGTAAAATTACACTAAAAGTGACCGAATTAAGGTAGCAATAATATCGGGAAGTGTACGATAATTTGATGAAGAAACGATAATTTTGAGGCTCCAGAACGATAATTCATATTTGAAAATTTGTCAACACTGACTGCGACTGTCTGCCCCTGACAGCTTTCTACCTCTCACACACACGCATTTCTTTCTTCGATTGAGGTATGTTGTAGCGGAGACTTTTTATGAACGAAACACTAATGATAATTACTTATATCAATTGAAAATAATGCTAATTGTTTCGTTATTATAACGAGAAATAAAATTTGCCAACTGAAAAATGAATTGTAAACACGCGTTATCTACTTTGAGTGATGTTTATGGCCATGTGGTGGTGTTTATGACATGTGGTGGTGTTTATGGACATGTGGTGGTGTTTATGATCATGTGGTGGTGTTTATGACCATGTGGTGGTGTTTATGGACATGTGGTGGTGTTTATGGACATGTGGTGGTGTTTATGATCATGTGGTGGTGTTTATGATCATGTGGTGGTGTTTATGATCATGTGGTGGTGTTTATGACCATGTGGTGGTGTTTATGGACATGTGGTGGTGTTTATGGACATGTGGTGGTGTTTATGATCATGTGGTGATGTTTATGATCGTGTGGTGGTGTTTCTGATCATGTGGTTGTGTTTATCATCATGTGGTGGTGTTTATGGGCATGTGGTGGTGTTTATGATTATGTGGTAATGTTTATGATCATGTGGTGGTGTTTATGACTTTTTTAGATAGAATTTCACATTTACTTTCACAGTTGAGGCACATTTTTCATTTCACACGTTTTGGGATTTTAGGGAATGTGCTTTTGAATTCATATATTCATTACTATATATATTTACCATAAAACTAAAAATCTTGCTTTTTAAACTCCCCAAATCTTTGGAAAAGTAAATGGACAGTTACTGTTTTCCTGCACATACACAATGTTTGTTACTTGTGTTATATTAAAAAGGAATTCTGGCACTGAAATTTAAATGTTTTATCTTTTTGTGTCATATTTTCAAATATCAATATACACCTTTCTCTTGTAACCAACAGATTAGCAGCTGCAATCCAAGTCATCTGCAATGAGTACGAAAAAACGTAAGTACCTTGATAATTACATCAAGTACGGATTCGTGCCCCTTCAAAAGGGTGACACAGAGCTCTCCCAGTGCGTGATATGCTTCAAGACTCTGAGCAATGATGGGATGCGGCCCACGCGCTTGGAACGCCATCTGATTACAACCCATCCTGAATTTGCCAACAAACCCAAGGCGTTTTTTGAGGCGAGAAAGGAGTCCTTGAAGCGAGCTAAGATCGACAGCAGTGGAGTATTTCGGCAGCAGACTTCAAATATTGTTGAGGCGTCCTACGAGATTGCTCTGTTGATACCAAAGAACAAGAAAAGCCATACAGTCGGAGAGACCCTCATAAGGCCGAGTCTGCTGAAGGCGGCAGAGCTCGTCCAGGGGAAGGATAGTGCGAACAAGCTCTCTTATATCTCTTTATCAAACGACGCCGTCAAAGGAAGGATCGATAATATGTCTCAAGACATCAAAGGTCAAGTCATAAACCAGGTAAGGGCCTCTCCTGTCTTTGCCATCCAATGTGATGAAACAACTGACGTCGCTCAGTGTTCTCAGCTGCTGATGTACAGTACGTTCGTTTCGTGTTAGGCGACAGCGTGAAAGAGGAAATGCTGTTCTGTCATTCCCTGTAAACTTCTACAACAGCAACAGATGTCTTTGAAGTGGTATTGAACTTCTTTGATGAAAATCGACCATTGTGGGACTCGCTGGTAAGGGTTTGTACAGAGGGAGCTCCGCCCATGCTTGGTTCGCGATCGGGTTTCGTAAATAAGGTGAAAAAAAAGAGTCCCTCTGTTGTTGTTACGCACTGCGTCATTCATCGAGAAGCCTTAGCATCCAAGACTCTACCTGCTGAAATGAGGGATGTCATGAACCTGGCCATCAAGGTAGTAAACTTCATCAAAACTGGAGCCTTAAACAGTCGCCTGTTCAAAAAGCTGTGTAAGGACATGGACTCTGACCATCAAGCCTTGCTTTTCCACACAAATGTGCGATGGCTTTCGAAGGGAAGCATGCTCGGGCGGCCTTATGAACTGCGAGAAGAAGTGGGAGCATTTCTAGAGTTGCAGCGGAAGGCAGATCTCTATGAAAAGTTTCAGTCCGAAGGATTTCAGCTGTCTCTAGCTTACCTTGTGGACATCTTTGAAGTGCGAAATGCCATCAACCAGAAACTGCAAGGGAAGAACATAAACATCATACCGCAATACGACACCATTCCAGCCTTCATGGCTAAAATCGACCACTGGAAAAGCCGAATGGAGGATGGAAACACAGCCTGTTTCGCAAATTTGGATTCCGCTGTCTCTATTGGTCAGCTCGATTCCGAGTTAAGAAAACAAGTCATCGCTCATCTGACTGAGCTCAAAGCGAAATTCATCCGCTACTTTCCGGATTTGGACGAAAAGCGCAAGGCCTGGAAATTTATCAGGAACCCATTCCAATGTGAGGTAGCTGATGTTTCGGATGGAGTCCAGGAGGAGATGCTTGAGCTGAAGTTCAACTCCTCAGCTGAGGACGACTTCGAAACTCTGGATCTGGAGGTGTTCTGAGTAAAATACCTTCCTGTTTACCCCCTGGTCTCACGTCAAGCTGTTCGGATTCTGACGATGTTTGGATCCACGTATCTTTGTGAGGCTGCATTTTCTGCGCCAGTTGCTGTCAAGACCAAATACAGAAACAAACTGAACGTTGAAGGGGACTTGCACTGTTCTCTCTCTAGCACGCGGCCATTTATTCGGGATGTGGTAGCTCAGAAGCAGTGTCAAAAATTTTACTAAATGTGTTCTCACTAAATATGTTGTGTATTTGCGAGTTGCTTATACAGACTCTTTTGAATAATTAAAATTATTAAAGTAACGCGTGAAAAACTAGTTTCTTAATTTTCCTATTTAATTAAAAAGAGGAAATTGTTTTAGAATTTTATATGAAGGAAGGAGGGGGGCGTGGAGATGAGGACCAACTGCTATAGGGGGCGCGACCCTATAAAGGTTAAGAACCACTGGGTTAAACAATGAACCAGAAAAAAAGGAAGGGAAATAAATGGGGTGTGACTATTAAAAGAAAAGACAATGAGATCCTGTTTGAGGCAGAAGAAGTAAAAGAAAGATGGAGTAAATAGAAAAATTATACAGTGATAAGGATAGAGTAAAGGTAAGAAACGAAAAGGAAATAAAGATCAAACTAACAACTCTTGAAACTGAAGTTGAGGCAGCAGTAAGCAGAGTGATAAAGCTTGTGGGATTGATCAGTTTCCAGCAGAATTTATAAAGAAATGGGCAAGAGTGAAATAAAATGTTTGACTAAAATATGTAATACTATAATCTTCAAAAGAGACCTTCCCAGTTTCTTCAAAAAATCAATATTTGCATTATTACCTAAAAAGCCAGGAGCCTTAGAGTATACCCAGTTTAGTACAATGAGCTTAATTCATCATAATTTTAAGTATAATATATGTTTTAGAATAGACATTGAGTTATATGAAAATCAAAATGGGTTGAGAAAGGGAAACTGAATCAGAGAAGCTGTATTTAGTTTGAGAATTATAAGTGAAAGGACTTAAGAGATCCCCAAAAAATTGTTTACCTGCTTTGATGATTTTGAAAAAGCTTTTGATAATGCAAAACACAATAAACCTATAGTGGTATAGTGGTCTTTGAAATAGCGGCATTAATGAAGGATATATTAGAATTAAAGAAATAAATAAGTACTGGCAACAGGTGGCTACAGTGTTAGTAAATTATGAACTTATTAATTGATTCTATCTCCAACATTGTATAATATATATTCAGAATTCTTAATGAGAGAAAGTGGAAAAAGGTGAGATATGCGTTAAGACTTAAGGCTGTAAAGGCTAAAGTAATGGTTGTTTCTAAATTGGAAATAAATTCTAAACTAAAAATTTTGGTAGGCAACAGGGAATTTGAACAAGTGGAAAATGTTTGCGTGTTTGGGAAGTAATATTAGCTGTGATGGTAGACGTACGGAAGACATCATAACAAGAAGAGGTCAAGCAAAAAACAGCATTTAATAATCTACAAGTCCAAATAAAAAGGAACATTAACTTTAATTTGAGGAAAGGGGTGACGAAATCCTACATATGGTCAGGACTTTTGTATGAGCCTGAAGTTTGGACATTTTAAGCAGACACCAGGAAGAGGATGGAGGCATTTCAAATGTGGTGTTATAGGCGAAGGTTAAAAATAAGTTAAACTGACAGGAAAACAAACAAAGACGTACTAAGATTAGCAAACATTCCATGACAAATGTTTGAAATTTAAAGAAAAGGAAAAGTAAGATACTCCGGTCATATAATTAGGGATGAGGGAATAATAGAAACTAAATATTAATGGGCAAAGTTGAGGGTAGGAGGGCCAAGAGAAGGCAGAGACTGGGATGGATGAATTAAATTAAAAACTGAGTCCCCAGAAAAATACAAAACCTTGGAAGATTGGTAAAAACAACCCGAGAATGTTTAGAGTGGAGGACTGTGGTCGCCAAACTTTAGATAAGAGGAAAGTACTCTGATAGTGAGAACAGTTGAACCTCCCATCTACTACCTGGTCCATATGTACTAACACATTCACTATCACATCCATCTCTAACATCCATCTTTACATTCATTCAAAAACCACCCCTTGTATAGCGTATACACCACTCACGTCCAACCTTACACCTGCTACCAACATCCAGTAATACACCACCCACCCGAAAACATCCGCTCTCAACATCCACCCCAGTATCCACCACAACTTCCAGTTTCCGACATTCACCTCAACATGCAGTCCCCAACATTCAACCCCAAAATTCCAGTCACCTATAACCCCTCCCAACACCCACTCTCATCATCCAGTCCCTATATCCAATCCCCATCATCCACTCCCCAACATCCACTCCCCTACATCCACCTCCAACATCCAGCCCCATAATCCACCCTCATCATCCAGTCCCCTATATCCACCCCAACATTCACTCTCACACGGAGTTTATCAGCGTGAAAGAGTTGCAAAAATGTCAGATTATCGATTGGAATCTCATTAAATAGCGGATGACTTGTTATTGCTGACTCCTCGTTAGTGACTCTCTCTCTCTCTCTCTCTCTCTCTCTTCACGCCACTCTCTCTCCCTCTAATATTGATCGGTGTTCGCCCTTATCTCCACCACACAGCCAGAACCACAACGTGACCTGTATTTCTTGCTCTATTTTGGTGGCGTTATTACTCTATCAAATACTGGTTTCCTTTTCCTGATATAGCCTCGGTCTCTGGTCGTGGTCGTAATATAGCTTCGGTCTATAGGTATGGTCGTAATCGTAATCTAGCCTCGGTCTATAGGTATGATCGTAATCGTAATATAGCCGTGGTCTATAGATCTGATCGTGGTCGTAATATAGCCTCGGTCTATAGGATCACAGCACGTCACTAACACAGTAACATCAAGGTGGACAAAACTCGTCACCAACACAACAAACATCAAGGTGGCGTCAAATAAAGGCCTCAAGCCAGGGACAACTTCCAACCATCATATCTGACGCAGCCCAAAGTTTACACCATAACAAAACTTTATTACTCGACAACTTTATATATAAATTTCCTTTTTCCTTTCTTGATAGGGGAGGAGAAAGGGGGTACACAGGGGAAGGGTGGGGGGAATGGGTAGACAAAAAGGGTGGGAGGGGGAGGAGAAAAGGGGAGGGGAAGGAGGTGTTAGAGGGAGGAGGAAAGGGTAGGGAAGGAGGTGTTATGGGAGAAGAAGAGGATGTTAGGGGCAAGGAAAGGGAGTAGAGGAGAATGAGAAGGGGGTTGGGAGGGAGAGCTAGTGGGAGGTTAGAGGAGTAGGGGGTTGGGAGGGGGAGGGGAACGGTGGTGGGGAAAGGGAATGGGGAGAACGAATGAGAGAGGAATGGGGGGAGAGGGTGGAAGGATGTCCTTTCTTTTAGAGTTTGGCGTCTGTTATGATCCCGAGATTATTAAAGTTTGTTGACTTAATAAAAGAGTTGTGAGCAGAAGTGTTGCGCCTGACAGTGTGGTAGCGCCGGGGACTTCTCTTTCTATTAATCAAGTTGTCTCGTAGACCGACTCCAAGCTGCTGAGTCATAGTCGCATCAGCTCTGCGCCATCAGTCGATAGGTCGGCGTTCAGCAGCCAAACAGACCCTGACTTATCTTAATTCGATCAACCGTAACGGCGATATGCTGGATACAGAACTCACCTTCTATTCTAAAGTAGCGTAAATGGATACCTAACTTCACTGGTGAGGCCCGGTAAAGCCCTCAGTGTGCTGTATCCACAATGTCTTAAACGGGCTACCACGCATAGGAGATCCATTTTCCATACAACAAATTTTGAGTGAGGGTTAATTTGCTTTTCTTATTCATGCATTACCAATAATCTATGGTGTAACAAACAAGTGCACAATGGCCGTAAGGTTTATAAGTTCGATCTATTTCCGTTGTCGCCATCTCAATGGGGAGATGAAGGAGCCAATCAGGCGAAGGATCAGCTCATGAGTGACCTTGACCAAGACTAGCTTGATAGTGTGTGTTTGTGTGTGTGAGTGTGTGTGTGTGTGTGTGTGTGTGTGTGTATACGTATGTGTGTGTGTGTGTGTGTGTGTGTGTTTGTGTGTGTGAGTGTGTGTGTGTGTGTGTGTGTGTGTGTGTGTGTGTGTGTGTTCCTCCCGGATCTGTAAAGACTTTTCTCGACATACTCTTGTCTTGCGACGCCGTGAACAATATCCCACAATCGTCAGCCCACCACAAATATTTCTCACTCAACTCCTCCCCTAAATATGACATAATCCTAACTTCTAACTAAACTATTTATACATATGTCTTCTATACCCTGTGAAGCAAGGGTCAAACACTGCTTCTGAAACATGAATTCCACTTCAATGAGAATACCTTTAAGGCATTATATACTTAAATGTCTGCCCTGTGATTATTCAGTGTCGAGTATTTGTTTAAACCAATCTTCCTATATGTTAACAAGTGAAGGAAGAGAAGGAGTGGGTGAGGCTGTTAATACTGTATTGTATTTTTCTCTGTGGTAAATGAGTGTTTTAATTTGGGGTTTCTTTTGTGTTTTTTTGTTTTATAGTATACTAAATAAAGCCCGCCAGACCTTGTTTGAAGAGGACAACAGGAGACAGCAACCAACAGAACCAACAGCACCACCAGCCAATAGCACCGCCTTGTTGACAGTTTGAGACATCTGGGAGCTACTACCTCACATCACGCCACGTTGACTTCTGACAATTCGACCCTTAGAATATGTTAGCTCTAAAGGCTTTCATGGTGAATCTATATACAAATGGCAGCTCTAAAAGTTTGCCATGGTGACTTTATATACAAATGGCTGTTCTATAAGTTGCCATGGTGAATGTATATATGCTCGTATATATAAATTCAGACGGCACTGACTCACACGATCGGATATGAGCCGCCAGTGTTAACTTTTGTTCCTCCTCCATCACTAACTTACTGTACATCAAGGGGAGTTAGTTATTACATCCCCTGACCCACCACCATCACACTACACCTCTGTTACCAAAC